CATCTTTGTCAACATTTTTTTCCTCCTTAAAAACAGACCTAGGCTGGCACGGTGGCTGACGCCTGTAATCCCAACACTTTGGGAGGACGAGGTGTGAGGATCACTTGAGGTCAGGAGTTCGAGACCAGCCTGGCCAAATGGTGAAACCCAGCCTCAGCTGGGCATGGTGGTGCATGGCTGTATTCTAGCTACTTGGGAGGCTGAGGCAGGAGAATTGCTTGAACCTGGGAGCCAGAGGTTGCAGTGAGCCGAGATCTCCCCGCTGCACTCCAGCCTGTGCAACAGAGTGAAACACCATCTAAACAAACAAACAAAAAAGGAAACAGAGACCTAGAAGTGGGATTACAGCAAAGCTTTTGAACATTTTAAGGCTTTTAAGAGCAAGATTCAGACTCTCAGCAGTTTTACATGAGAGTGCTACAACATCCTCACTAAGTATTAAGTATTTGGGTTCATCATACTTTTAAAATTTTTTATTTTAGTTACGGAGTCTCACTATGCTGACCAGGCTGGAGTGCAGTGGCTATTCACAGGCAAGATCCCACTACTGATCAGCACAGGAGTTTTGACCTGCTCCGTTTCCAACCTGGGCCGGTTGACCCCTCCTTAGGCAACCTGGTGGTCCCCGACTCCCAGGAGGTCACCATATTGATGCTGAACTTGGTGCGGACACCCGATCGGCATAGCGCACTACAGCCCAGAACTCCCGGGCTCAAGCGATCCTCCCACCTCAACCTCCCGACTAGCTGGGACTACAGGCACGCGCCACCGCGCCTGGCGGGTTCATCATAATTTTAAATTACTTTGGTGTGTCAATTTGAACACTAGAGTGATTTTATAAAAACAATTAGAAACTTGAATTCAATTTTACAACTGTATTGCGTCTTAAAATATTTTATAGCAAACTTAGATAAAATATATAAATAATCCAAGGGTGTAAAGTAGAAAGTGAAAGCCCACTTCTCCCAGTTCCAACCCCCGATGTTGCCAATGTTAAACGTTGTATATTCTTACAGACATGCATCTTTGATTTTTGCCTTCATATACATTACTCATTTAAAAATTACTTCTGTTGAATAGAATCCTAAAAGACTGCTGTATTATATGATCTTTTTAAAGTATGTTGTTAAATTTCCCCTCTTCTCAAAAAATCACAATTTGCACAAATATACATGCACAGAATACAGTATGTTGATGTAGAAGATAATACATGTTCCCTGCAGAAAATATGAAAATAGAGGAAAGGACTGGGAAGAAGTTTAAAGTTGGCTTTCAGCCCACCAATAGAGATAACACTATTAACCATGTGGCACATGTAATTTATATATACATCTAATTTATATTGAATACTTTATATGTACATAATATGTATACATAAATGTATAATTTATATGTATAATTTATTTTTGAGACAGGGCCAGGCTAGAGTGTAGTGGCATTGCAGCCTCTAACTCCTGGGCTCAAGCTATCTTCCCACCTCAGCCTCCCGAATAGCTGGTACTACAGGTGTGCTCCACCACGCCCGGCTAATTTTTAAAATTATTTATGGAGGTGGAATCTCGCTATGTTGCCCAGGCTTACTATTTTAAAGTGGGTGTAGGATACAAAAAAAAAAAAAAAAAAAACTGCTTCTACGTAGGTAAAGGAGAAAATACCGTGCCTTGTTAATAAGTAATTCCCTTATGATTCTTTTTCCCAGGAACTTGAGTGAGAAATCATAAACTGTCCTCATCTTTGAAACAGCAGTTTAGCATTCTCATCTCCCTGGCAACCCAAGGCGCCTTTGCTTCCATGGTCTTCCGAGTGATTGATAGTGACCGCACCCAATAGAAACTTTCTATTTGTCGCATCTAACCAATCAAAGGTAAGCGCGGGGCTAGGGGCGTTTCCACCGGTGCCCTGGCGAGCTGCGACTTTCTTACATCTGCTGTGCATCATCAGTCCGCGCCAGGGGCACTATTGGCCCGCTACGGTCAACGAAGTGGCTGCTTTGTGGTAGCGGCAATGAGTTGCGCTGGGGCGGCGGCGGCTCCCTTCCTTTGGCGGCTGCGGCCAGGTGCTCAGCGGTCCCTCTCAGGTAAAGGGAGACGCACGGCCACAGTCCTGCGGCAGGCTCGCGAGCTAGGGGATTTTCGCTTGAGATTTGGGTCGAAGAGGTCATGAGGGAAGAGGTTCGTAACGTCACAGTCCTGCGACGGAGCGCTACTGCGTGACTTCAGCCTGGGCGCTGTCGCGGACGGGGCGGTGCCTGTGGTTCGCTGCGAGAGTGACAGGCGGACGAGGGTGGTTTCGGCATTGACGCCTGCAGAGTGACGCAATTGCACACCTGTGCAGTGATGTCATGGCAGGTGCGGCCAGCGTTCCAAGTCAAGGACAGTTGGCGACACTGAAAGTTCAGCGTCCCAGGGAGTCTCTCTTTGTAGTCTTTGCCCAGGGCCTGCCTTGCCAGGCAAAGCGCAGCCTAACGATCAGCAGCCTGCGCTATTTCTGGGAGCTCGCTAGAAATGCTGATTCTCAGGCCCCACCCCGACCTGTGATCTGTGCACAGGACCTTTAGGTGATTTGCATGCACTGTAAACTTTGAGAGCCCTCAGTATAGTGCAAGGAGCATCGAATTTGAAGTAGAGAGATATGGTTTTGGAGCCTGCTTCCTGCTTACCTTGTTTCATCTGTGCTTCCTTAGAAAATTGTCATGAGGCCGGAAGCGGTGGCCCACGCCTGTAATCCCAGCCGAGGCTGGAGGATCACCTGAGATCAGGAGTTCAAGACCAGCCTGGCCAACCAATTGGTGAAATTCACCAATTTGGTGAAATTACAAAAATACAAAAATTACTAAACTACAAAATACTAAAAAGACTAAAATTAGCCGGGCGTGTTGGAACATGGCTGTAGTCCCAGCTGCTGGGGAGGCTCAGGCAGGAGAATTGCTTGAACCGATACTGCTCCACTGCACTCCAGCCTGGACAACAGAGGGAGACTTTGTCTCCATAAAAAAGAAAAGAAAAGACAAAGAAAATTGTCGTAAGAGCGTTTTCTCAACGTTAAATCACCGTGTACCGCCTTCAGGATTTTTGCCTAATGGCAGTACTGCTTGAACTTTTTATTACTAGATGTGTTTTTTGTATAACCATGTCCCATTTTTAAATTAAATTGATTTTCTTGAAACAAAATCCTTATGGTGAATGGGAAGCCAGTGCCACTTGCCTCAAATGGATGAGTAATCATGAAAAAAAACCTGAAATTGAAAAGTTATGAAATTGTGTTAAGTACTGTCTTTCTGTTAAATCGGGGAAATCAGCAAGTGTTGGGAAGGTGTTCAGGATATACCAACTGTGTAGGGAGATATTTTCCTTAATGAAATAAAAGAGATTGCAAGAGAATTTAAAAGAGTAGCCCTTACCTCAGGGAGTTATTTATTGCATATCCATAAGCCACTTAAATTTCATAGATACCTCACTGGCGGGTTTTATACACTTTGGGAAAATGTAGACATAAAGTGATGCATTTGAGAGCTTCTAGCACCGAACCTTAGTTTTATTTTAAAGTGTGTGGCAATGCAGGAAAAACTCTGAGGGTTGTTGAATGCAAATTTTAATGCTGTGCTGTTCAGCCAGTGAGCATAACAGAGTAAGCTTTATTTCTGTTTATAAAGTTACTTTGCTTCTTATATCTTATTTTATCCTCATAACTCAGTAAGAAAACTTTATTATTGTATGTTTTCACTTAAAAAGGAAAGAGCCTGATTATTGTCTTTTTTTTTTTTTTTTTTTTTTTGAGACAGAGTCTTGCTCTGTCACCCAGGCTGGAGTGCAGTGATGCGATCTCGGCTCACTGCAACCTCTGCCTCCCAAGTTCAAGCGATTCTCCTGCCTCCGACTCCTGAGTAGCTGGGGGCGGCAGGCATGCACCACTGCACCTGGCTAATTTTTGGTAATTTTAGTAGAGACAAGGTTTTGCCGTGATGACCAGGCTGGTCTCAAACTCCTGACCTCAAGTGATCCTACCTTCTTGGCCTCACAAAGTGCTGGGATTACAGGCATGAGCCACCGCACCCAGCCAATGATAATTACCAATTTTATATGTAAGAAATGTCAATTCTCGTTTTCCTAGGTTAGTGTTAGAGATGGGACACATGTTTTCCTTTTCCCTTCCTTCCTTCCTTCCCTTCTTCCCTCCTTCCCTCCTTCCTTCCTTCTTCCTTCCTTCCTTTTTTGAGACAGAGTCTCACTCTGTCACCCGAACTGGAGTATAATGGCAGGGTCTCGGCTCACTGCAGCCTCCACCTACCAGGTTCAAGTTACTCTTCCACCTCAGCCTCCCAAGTAGCTGGGACTAAAGGTGCGTGCCATGATACCTGGCTAATTTTTGTATTTTTGGTAAAAATGGGGTTTCACCATGTTGGCCAGGCTGATCTCGAATTCTCAAGCAATCCATCTGCCTTGGTCTCCCAAAGTACTGTGATTACAGGCATGAGCCACTGCACCTGGCCTATCTTGAGTCAGATGTGCTCAGTGAGTTGGAGGGGGTCATGCTGAGGAGTGGACCACAGCTGGGTCATGATGCTTCAGAACTCTACATCCATGCTTCTTTCTTAAAAGTGTGACATTTAAAACCCCATCTGGTGGAAAATTTCAAGTGCAGAACCACGCCAAATTTCACCAACCCACCTCATCACCTTGTGTCCAGAGCACTCAAGACTTTGTCATAAAAGAACCACATATGTATCCAAAATGAATTTTTTCCGCATATTCTCTGGCTGTTGAAGTTAGCCTAAGTGAAAAGAAGTATGCATAAAAGACATGGTAGTCACGTCTCAAGAGCCCTGAAACACATTTCAAAGTGATGCCATTGCTGGCTGGGCGTGGTGGCTCATGCTTGTAATCCCAGCAGTTTGGGAAGCCGAGGTGGGAGGATTGCTTGAGCTCAGGAGTTTGAGGCAGCCTGGGCAACATGGTGAAACCCCGTCTCTACTAAAAATACAAAAACATAGCTGGGCATGGTAGTGCATGCCTACAGTCCTAGCTACATTAAAGTCTTAGCTACTCTGGAGACTGAGGCAGGAGAATTGCTTGAGTTCAAAAGGTGGAGGTTGCAGTGTGCTGAGATTGTGCCACTGCACTCCAGCCTGGGTGACAGAGCCAGACTCTGTCTCAAAAAAAAAAAAAAAAAGAAGGCCGGGCGCGGTGGCTCAAGCCTGTAATCCCAGCACTGTGGGAGGCCGAGGCGGGTGGATCACGAGGTCAAGAGATCGAGACCATCCTGGTTAACATGGTGAAACCCCGTCTCTACTAAAAGTACAAAAAATTAGCTGGGCATGGTGGCGTGTGCCTGTAATCCCAGCTACTCAGGAGGCTGGGGCAGGAGAATTGTCTGAACCTGGGAGGCGGAGGTTGCGGTGAGCCGAGATCGCGCCATTGCACTCCAGCCTGGGTAACAAGAGCGAAACTCCGTCTTGAAAAAAAAAAAAAAGAAAAAGTGATACTAATGCAGATTGAAGCTGCCGTTACAAACTGAATGACCCATAGGTCTCTATTTACCTTATCTGCAAAATGAGGTGAATACACCTTACAAACCTAAGAATGCTGCAAAACTTCTCTTGCAGGGAAAAAAGCCTTTTGAGTTACTCTAATATAAGGTTCAGAGAATATAATTAAGATGTTGAGATTAGGAGATTTATTTTTAAAGATAAAATATAATCTGTCATGAAGAATTTACATTTTGAAGATGAGAGTTCATTTGAGTTGACTTTTTACTGTAATGGGGTAAAATCTAAGCTCTAAGGCTAGTCTCAAAATCGAATGCCCGAGGGTGTGGGGTTTAAAATTTTTTTTTTCTTTTTGTTTTCAGACAGAGTCTCACTCTGTCGCCCAGTTCAAGATCAGGAGTTCAAGACCAGCCTGGCCAACATGGTGAAATTACAAAAATACAAAAATTATTAAACTACAAAATACTAAAAATACAAAAATTAGCCGGGCGTGTTGGAACATGGCTGTAGTCATAGTGGAGTGTGTGGTGGCGCAATCTTGGCTCACTGCAACCTCTGTCTGTTGGGTTAAAGCGATTCTCCTGCCTCAGCCTCCCAAGCAGCTGGCATTTTAGGCATCCGCCAACACAGCCAGCTAATTTTTGTATTTTTGGTAGAGACGAGGTTTCACCATGTTGGCAAGGCTGATCTCAAACTTCTGACTTCAGGTGATCCATCCTCCTGAGCTTCCCAAAGTGTTGGGATTTACTATCCGTAAAAGGATTTTACCTAAGAGTAACAAAGAATAAACACTTGCATTTCAGCCTATGGAAGAATCGGTGTCAGATATCGCAGTTCAGGAATGACCTTAGACAATATCAATCGGGCAGCTGTGGATCGAATAATCCGGGTGGATCATGCAGGCGAATACGGAGCAAACCGCATCTATGCTGGGCAGATGGTCGTCCTGGGTCGGACAAGTGTTGGGCCAGTCATTCAGGTGGGCACTTCCTCATCTCCCTCAGCCTGGTCTACTGAATGGGCAGATCCAAAGGCCTTCAAGTAACGAATCACAGGAGGTCATGCGTTCCCCAGGGAGATGCTGTTGTCTCCAGGAGAGCGAAAGTTGGTTCATGGTGGAGAGATGGGGAGCAGAAAGCGTATTTTAAAAAATTTATTTACTTATTTATTTATTTTTCAGACAAGGTCTCGGTCTTGTCCCCAGACTGGAGTACAATGGCACAATCTCGGCTCACTGCAACCTCCGCCTCCTGGGTTCAAGGGATTCTCCTGCCGTAGCCTCCTGAGTAGCTGGGATTGCAGGCACTCACCACCCAGGCCTGGCTAATTTTTATATTTTTAGTAGAGACAGGGTTTCACCATGTTGGCCAGGCTGGTCTTGAACTCCTGACCTCAGGTGATCTGCCTGCCTCGGCCTCCCAAAGTGCCGGGATTACAGGTGTGAGCCACTGCGCCCAGCCTCATGTTGCTCTTTTTATGGACAAAGCACAGATAGACATAAAGTACATAGATAGGTATGCAGTATATCTTTGGCATCAATACTTCATGGCGGGGGCAGGCAATAATGAAAAAGTTGAGAATCGCTCAGCACAGCAAACTGTGCTGAAAGATTGTAGTCCCGTCCCCCACAGAGCCAGTGGAGATATTGTATCCCAAGAGGCAGTGGAAGGACCTGGAATTTATAGTTACACAGATCTAATTCACGTTTTGGCGCTCTCCCACCTCCTACCTGTATGACCTTGAGGATGTCACAGGACTTTTCTGGGTTTCCATTTCCCTATCTGCAAAATGGTTTCATGATGGCCTGGGTTTGGATAAGGAATCAGGACTCGCCTGTAAAGGTCAAGTTAGTACAAGTTAAATGGCCTTCCCTGAGTCCTTGGGCAAGCTACTCAGCCTCTCTGTGCTTCAGTGTTTTCTGTATACTGGGGCAGTAATAGTGTGTTCTTCACAGGGATTGTGTGGATTGAATGAATTGCTGGCATAAAGCCGTGTGACAGCACCTGGCACTTAAAAAGTTCCATGTAAGTGTTCGCTGCTGCTAGAATTCTCCCTTTTTCCTTCAATGTAAATAATATTCAGGGCCGGGCATGGTGGCTCATGCCTGTAATCCCAGCACTTTAGGGGGCCGAGGCTGATGAACTGTTTGAGCCCAGGAGTTTGAGACCACCCTGGGGGCCATGACGAGACCCTGTCTCTACAAAAAATAAAAAAATTAGCTGGGTGTGATGGCTTACACCTGCAATCCCAGCACTTTGGGAAACTGAGGCAGGTGGATCACCTGAGGTCAGGAGTAGGAGATCAGCCTGGCCAACAAGGTGAAACCCTGTCTCTACTAAAAATACAAAAAAATTAGCTGGGCGTGGTGTGCATGCCTGTAGTCCCAGCTACTCAGGAGGCTGAGGCAGGAAAATCACTTGAACCTGGGAGGCAGAGGTTGCAGAGAGCCGAGATTGCACCACTGTACTCAAGCCTGGGCAACAGAGTGAGACTCTGTCTAAAAAAAAAAAAAAAAAAAATTAGCCCAGTGTCATGGCGTGCAACTGTAATCCCAGCTAATCTGGGAGGCTGAGATGGGAGGATCGCTTGAGTCTAGAGGCTGAAGCTGCAGTGAGCTGTGAGCTTGCTACTGCACTGCATTCTGGGTGACAGAGTGAGACCCTGTCTCAAAACAAAAACAACAACAAAATGATTCTATTCTAGTACCTAGAAGGAAATTACACAGCAGCTAATGTTCTGCCCTCCTGATCTTGAAATGGGTTATTTCTTATGTGTGTGGACCCTTGTAATTTAATAGACACATGTGGGCCTGAGAGACTTCTGCTGGAACCATGGCTCACGGCAGCCTTACCTGGAATGGAGATAATAGACTCTGGTTTTCTTGGCGCTCTCTTCTCTTTGTCAAAGATTCCTTTAGTCTGATGTTTTACTTTTTCCATTGATATTTTGTGGGGAATGGGGGAGACAGCAATTCCCATCATTTCCTCCATTTCTGTTTTGCTTACTGTGTACCGCATGTATGAGTAGGAGGTCTCTATGGAATGCTTGCATGTCTTTATTTTCATGTTTCTTGCAGAAAATGTGGGATCAAGAAAAGGACCATTTGAAAAAGTTCAATGAGTTGATGGTTACGTTCAGGGTCCGGCCGACAGTTCTGATGCCCCTTTGGAATGTGCTGGGGTTTGCACTAGGTACGTGTCTCTATAGAAGAGCTTATGCAAGCTTGGGGATCTGGGATAAGTCAATGGTTCAGGTATTGTGCTCACAATTCTTGCTGTGTCTTCTTATGACCTCATTCTGTTTACTTCATATTTTTCTTTTTTTTTTTTTTTTTTTTTTTTTTTTTTTTTTTTTTGAGACAGAGTCT